AAAAGGCCAGGAGTACATTGTCAAGTTTCCACATACTGAAGCTTTGGACTTGAACCAAACAATTAGTCTCATGGTTGGAGGTCCCTGTTCAAAGATGAGTTCAGGTTTACCTGGCTGTGGGTAGGTGTAGGTTACATTTTGTTGTAAAACCACCTGCTTTGCATTCGTTTCAGGAAGAATAAGAGAATTATCGTAGGGCGGTTTGAAGCTATACTCTTGATAACCTCCATCCCCGAAACACCATCTGCAATTTAAGAGGGAAAGCCATCAAACAGTGATAAGAAATCAGGAGGATTTCTACTATCATTCCATGTGAGAATGTTATCAATACTGAAAAAATCTGAATAAATCATTATCACTGCATCTCAATAACTGCACAGTAAACATACACTCATCTTTCATTGCACAAGAGTGTACACAACAGTTCTGGACAGAGGAACTGCAAGCTAGGATTTCTGGAGATTAAACTGAATCAGCTGGAGAATATCTGAAAAGGTAAGCTGCCAAAAATGCTATCACAGGCAAATTACAAAGCGTCGAATATGCAGATTTAATTTATTGTATATCTAGATCAGAATGGTGCAGAAGGAGAAACTGCAACGTTAGGTCACAGACATAATGTGATCAAATACATGCAGGTTCTTCGCTTCTTTATTTCTGTAGAAAAAGCTTTTTAAAAGTTTTAAACTGGCAAGTTATATACAGTATATAAAACAAAGCATGCCAACTAATAAAATATTTGAACATGTCAGCCATCTCTAGAGCTTCAGAAACTGCGGCTGTTTTATTGCTCTCTCTGTATCTTTAAGTCTATGCCTTCTGTGGAGCTCCAGGAGCTGCCAGAATGACGTCACACACAAAAAAACATTCACTTCAAAATAAGAAAAGAAAGGAAAGAGAAACAGAGAGACTGAACCCTCTCAAAATGTTTTAATTTACAATAAAAGGACACTTTCCAGCTGCTCATTTCCTGCCCGTGGGATTGAGGCAGAAACAACAATACTGCTACTTAATTTAACCATGTCTCAGGACACAGAAGAAACAGATGTTCTGCAAAACAGATTTTACTAGATTTTTACTGAAGTCCATTTCATACATTGTAAACATCCTGTCTGCACTGGTGTGACACTGGCAACAGAGAACAGGATCGAATCAGTTTGCAAAAGGCCGAAGGGGTCACTCCAAATAGAACTGTTCTGGGCAGTCTTTGGTCTGTTTCAAGATGTTCTTTGTTGCTGTTGCATCATTTGTCAGTTCCCGCCCAAGCTTTACACATTAATCCTCTTAAGGTTTTTTAAGGATTTAATGAACCGCTTGGAGTTTACAAGGATCTTCTTGTACAAAACGCTGTCATAAGCAGGCTTCTTTCCTTTTGAAGAGGTATTAGCACTGCTACCCCAAAAGACATCTAATTTGCTTTCTTAACCATGTGAAAATCTGATGCTGGCATGCTGGCAAGTCTGTCTTGCTTCTAGCATGGTGCAGTATTCAGTGATGGAACAAAGGAAAGTTGTGGAGGACTCAGTATGAAAGCTTGTGATCCTCCTGTCATAGGCTTGTATGAAGGCTGTGTGGTCTGGACCATTAGACAAATTGTGCCTGGGTATATGTAGCTTTTGGAAACTGGTGTTCATATGCTCCACTGTACATACCACTGGTTGGAGATACTTCACTAATCTTGTCTGCTGCTCTAACTGATACTGTGTATACATACTGAGGCAGCCCAGCTGATGTTTTGCTGCTGTGCAGCGTGCATCACGACTTTTGTATGCATAGTTCTGAGGGGCCACAACAAGTACTGGTCAGAGAAGGGAGACAGGAACAAACAGCTGTCATTCTGTCTGGATCCATTAATGCTGAACGTACTTAGCTACTGTACCCATTTTTATTATAGGGCTAAGTTCATCTCTAGCAGTTATTCTCACTGCTGATCCTGTGGGATATTTGTGGCTTTCTGGTTTTGTTCCTACTGGTCCCTTAATCATTGGTGTTAATGGGTGCCTGTAAGTGGTCTGTTTGACTGTTTATAACAGTAGAAAAGTAGCTAACATACTGTACCTGGATGAGGGCAATTCTCAGTAATTAGTACAAGGATAATATTAAATATAAAACTCATTTAAACATTTAAGAGCTGAAAGCAAAACTAAAAACAGGCCTCACACAGAAAATTAGCCTACGGTTAAAAACTCAGCAGGAACAGAAAACAGAGGGCACAGAGGTAACACAGGAAA